GGCAGCTGCTGTGCCTTTTACTCTGATACGAAAACATAATTCGCTGAATATTTTGCTAGTAATTACATTTGTATCTTATGTTCTCAGTACTATATTATTACATTTTATTTTCTGTTCTCAGTATGATATTTTAACGACATTTAATTTTTTGAAAATATAAACCAGATATTTGTGCGATATTACTAACACCAAAAATACTTGGGTGTTGTGTATGATTGGATTACAGAGCGTAAAGTCGTATTATTTTTATCGAAGGACGCTTGTTTTCGAATAATATAAGTCATGCCTTGTCAACGCGACTGGCAAGCATTGGCCTAGACTAGAATCCAGCCATTCCGAGTACACCCAAGAAGACGAATCGCCAAGTAACTGCGAAGGCGGCGCCGTATCATGTGTAGTAACTGATTGGCTGTCTTCATGACTACAGTACATTGCCATGGGAACACGCATGTGCAGACTGGCTTGTACCCAAGGCCCGCCCTCGACACTCAAGACTGATTCACTACTCAATTCACAGTCGCTTGTAACATGAAACCACAGGGAGCCCAGGAACTAGGATAGGATAGGAGATTTTATTCGGAACGTACACAAAAACAATGCTCGAGTAAAGTCCAATATAAGAAAAATAAAGTAACACAACTAAACTAAATCAATTTTAGAATCTGAAATACAAAATTAGCTAAAATACTATAAACATATTTGTCTACACTTGAAAAACATTGATAAAAAATTCTCCATTTGGTGAGGTTTGATAATCAGGTGAATATATAAATAGTGCATAGAGGAACAGTAGTATCAATCTCTGATTTGCTATTGCCAGTTCTGCTAAATATATTAGACAGAAAACTACCCCAAACCTCTGACCCATAAAGGATAACTGGTTTAATAACAGAATCAAACAGTTTACAGGCTAGACCCACTGAATGGCAGTCACTTGAATCCCAAAGCATTTTGTACATTTTAAATGATGCTTGTGAGCTTTTTCATACAACCTTGCTGTGGCTGTACTACATTTCCCATTTGATTGAAAAGTGATGCCAAGGTAGTTATAATAATTCACACATTCAAGTTGTGTTCCATTAATGTAGAATTGAAATTTTGTCTTCAAGGTTTTTACCAGTGTTGTTAAAAACTACAATTTTATATTTGTTTATGTTAACCTTAAATTTCAATTTCTGGCAGTAATTTTGAATGATATCAATGCCCTTCTGTAGACCATCATGACTAGTGGATAGCAACAGAAGATCACCTGTATAAAAAATACAGTTAAATTTCACACCATTCAGGTCCACTGGGTCAACATCACAAATCAATTTCACATAAATATTTAACAATATAAACGATACCCCCACTCATAGAGACTGCATACAGTTGATCATAGTTCCTGGGCTCCTTGTGATGAAACTAAATAGGAATTGTATCAAACATTGGGATACCTGTGGTCTATTATTCATATTCTTTCAAAGTCTTGCGATCATAGACGGCATCTAGTCTAGTAAATTGAAGCATTGTCCAATCATATCATTTATATCGGAGTCAGTTATATGACGTCACATCAAAGTTCTACAGTTCAATATCGCCAATTTTCACATATTATAATCAAGTAACCTTGACAATGAAATAATAAGAGATGCTGGTGTTTCATGAATTGAGAATACTCACAAAATCGATTTTTGTTTTGTTTTTATTGTTATAATCTACCTGTATTATACTAGTATTTATGTAATTTTAAATTTTGCCATGATAGATCTATGTTTTAGATTCCTTAAGCTTGAGATATATCTATAAACTTCTATGAACTGACTATATTTGCGTT